GTGTGTCGGCCGCACGGGCGGGGGAGCTGGCCCTTCGCCGGCGGGGCCCGCCGGGTGCGCGGCCCGAAGGATTGCACGAAGGCTTGCAGAAAAACCCTTCGTTTTTTTGCAATCCTTCGTTTTTTGCAGTCCTTGGTTTTTTTTTGCAATCCTTCGTTTGTTTGCAATCCTTCGTTTTTTTGCAATCCTGGGTTTTTTTTGCAATCCTTCGGGTTTGTTTCGGGGGGAGGCCCACGCCTTCGCGCGCGCCCGCCGCCCATCGGAGGGCGGCAGAGCCGCCGGCCCCGCCAATAGCCGATCCGCGAAGCCCCCCCGCTTCGGTATCCTCGAGGGGGGGGCGTGTGTGGCAGCCACAGGCTTTGGGCGGGCCTGCGCCCGCCGGGGGGTCTGGTCCGAGCTGGCCCTCGCCGTCGTGAGGGGTGTTTTGCGGAGGGGGGCTCTCGCCCGGGCGCACTGGGAGGAGGAGGAGGAGGAGGAGGAGGAGGAGGAGGAGGAGGAGGAGGAGGAGGAGGAGGAGGAGGAGGAGGAGGAGGAGGAGGAGGAGGAGGAGGAGGAGGAGGAGGGGGGGGTCTGGTCCGAGCTGGCCCTCGCCGTCGTGAGGGGTGTCTTGCGGAAGGGGGCTCTGCTCTGTCCACGATCGGCAGGCCGCGGGCGGACGGTCGCTCTCGCCCGGGAGCACTCGGAGCGTGAATTACCTACCCCTCCTCCTTCGCTTCGCTTCGCTCGCGGCTCGATGTCTAATAGACGAAGCCGTTCGCGCGGCCGCGGCCGCGCGCGCGCGCCCGAGGCACGCAGTGGGGGCCACCCCCCCGACACGGGCCCCCGCCAGGAGGGCAAGGGTGAGAAGCCGCCTAGGCCTCGCAGGGGGAGGGGCGGGGGCCGAAAGGGGCCGAGAAAAAAAAGGGTGCCCAGGAGTTTCGGGGCAGAGGGAAGGAAGAGGGAGAGGCCACATGGGGGTGGCAAAGCGGGGCGGGGGGAGGGGGCTCATTAAAGGCCTGGGGAGGAAGGGAGTCCACCCCCATGAGGCCTTCACGCGGGCGGCGGCCCAGGTCACGCCTGGACCGTGTCCTCCCCCCCCTCTCCATTGAGGGGGCGTTCGTGATGGTGTCGGCGGCCGCCTTGATCCCTACGGTCATCTTGCCGCGGTAGGCGTCCGCCTCGAAGCTCTTGGGCCCTGTTACGGCCAGCTCGGGTCGTCGGATCTGCAGGCTGCAGTCCGACCTCCAGGGAGCAGGCTGCTCAAGACGGAGTCGACGAAATCGTCGAGTGGGCTGCTGTGTTCGTGGGAGGTGCCGTCGTAAATGGCGTAGAGGTTGCTGGTGGAGTCAATCCTGGTCGGTCTTCTCGTGGCAGTTCTCTCCGTAGCGTAGTGCATCTGCTCGGTCGTCCACATCAGCGACGGACCCGCTGGGGCTGCGGATTGCGCTAGTAGTACAGGTACTTCTGCAATGTGGGCGGCATGGAAGATGTGGATGGCTAGGCGGGCATGGTGGTTCGCGATCAATCGACGTTCCGCTGCCTTGCCTCCAAGGTTTACTCTTCCCCATGGGTCCGAGGTTGTTCTGGAGGATGCTGCCGTTCTGTCGTGGATGTCGCCATCACCTTGGTCGATCCAAGTGCTGGGTGAGAGGTTGATCGTAACTCCTGCGAAGTCACCCTGTCGAATGTGCTGGTGGATCAAGTCAAGGGCGTCGTACTGGGATGGGTGTTCGGCGGAGTAGAGATCGTCGAAGGTCATAGTAGCCAGTTCCATAACCATTCCATTGTAGCATAGTCGTTGGTCCGTGATGTCGAGCAGATCATTCGGGTGTCTATCGGTGTTGGTGAGGTAAAGCAGGGATCTGTTTCTGGTCGGTGTCCGAGGGTAGTGGGCTGGTGGTGGTGGTGTAAGTTCTGCTACAGTCGGGAAAAAGGGCGGTGGTGAAGGTGATAGGTCAAGGGAGGGTAATGGGGTGACGTCGGATGCGTGGGCAGGGATGGGATGGTATAGTTCGGGGCGGCCTCTGCGTTTGTTGTCGGCTATGCTGGCCGCGTAGATCGCCTGATTGGTGGCCACGCCCTCCTCAGTGAGGGCAGGTCCTTGTAAATACCACATATACCATGACCGTCGGCATCGGGCTACCGTGGTTAGATGCTTCACTAGCTTGGCGAAGGAGTGGAAGTTCTGGCGGCATATTCTGCACGATGTACCCGATGCCCAGTTTCGCGGATGATCAGGTCGTCGGTGTTCCCGTCCGATATGTATTGCCATTCCCTGCTTTGTCTTGGTTACTATTCCGCACTCGTAGCAAATGAAGTTGCTGTCGCCGTTGTCACGTGATGGCGTGGTGCCCGCCCCGATGGGGCCGTCTGGTCTGAGCACCTTGGTCAGCTTGTCGGCGTGGGCACTGTCTTTAGAGGCGCGGATGTAGTTTGTGACAGCCAGGTTGACGGAGTTGGTGAAGTGCCTCGGCGTGGTGCGAGCCCATGCGATGATGTCGGGGTCGAGCTTGCTGGTCGTGGGCCAGCGCTGGTCGTCCAGGTATGTGCGCAGGAAGTCGAAGTCCTGGAAAAGCATGTATGTCCATGAGCCCTTTCTCCGTCGCTGGTTGTCAAGCAGTTGTAGGAGCTGCTGAGGAGCGTGTCGTAGAAGCCGTGGTAAGTATCGCAGCCGTCCAGCAGACTGGTGGTGGTCGAAGTCGGGGATGCCGGTGTAGGCTACTACTTCGGTGGCCGTGAAATGATGAAGCTGCGAGTTAACTTTGGGTAATCCAGCTGCCGTGCGATAGGGCTTCGAGTAGGCGTTGGATATGCGCTGGTGGTCAGTCTGAGTCAGTGCTGGCCAGACGTGATGGTTGAAGGTCAATGAGGCAGTCGAGAGGGCGTGCACGTACTTGATCTTCGTTTTGCGGGGTAGGCGTCGACGTCTTAGGATTTGCCTCTCCAGAGCTCGTGCCGAAGCGTCGGTTCGTTGCATGCGATTCTGCACCTCGGGGCCCATGCTGCCGTTGGTTATGATGGTGCCTAATAGTCGGTGCTGGTCTGTGATTTGGACCGAGATCGACATGATGCTCAACTTGATTGATGTAATGTTTTGCTGTGCAAGCCTGCTGCGCACGACGTTGGAGCCCGTCCCGTTAAAGGAGATGATGACCTTGGTCTTGTCTGGGTGTGGCTTGAGCCCGTATGTAAAGGCTGTACGGCATAGACGTTCAGCTGAAGTTCTCGTAATGTCAATGATGTCGGAGTGGTGTGTGGTCGAGTTGAAGTCGGTGAGGTCGTCGACGAAGGACATGTTGGTCAGCTTGCCGCCTTGGTGAGGGGCCGTAGAGAAGAGCGGGTTGTCGCAGGGGCTGATGTGGTGGCCGCTTTCGCCGTCTTCTGCCCCTTCAGCGTCGTCGGCGATGGCCTGAAGCACCAGGGAGAAATGCATGTTGAAAGCTGCGTCGGAGTATGGCACCCCTGGCCTGGTACTGGTGCGAGGGATCACGTATGCGTTGGTGCCCTTGGCGGTCATCCAGTTGGCCGTGTGGTGGTCGGCAACTAGGGCGCAGAGGTGAGAGTCGTCGACGTGGGCGTTGAGATGTGCTGGGCAGCGAAGACGTTGTCGTAGGGATGGGAGTAGGCATATGGGAATCTCGATGTTGTCGATGACGTCTTCGAGCTCGTCCTCCTGAGTCGGCAGCTGAGAAATGAACTCCTTTATTACCGAATGGAAGGCTTCTTTCAAGTCCAGGAAGAGGATGCTGCCCGTGCGAGCCTGTGCACGGCAGTCGTCCAAGAAAGTGTAGGCGGTGTGAGTGATGAAGTCGGTCGCCTTGTGAGGGACGGCGCCGCATTGTGTGTCCATGAGCAGGTCGGGTAGGATGTCGCGGAAGAGGCCTCTCAGGAACTTGCTGTTGATCTTTCCTATAGTGTTGTTCAGGAGGATGCCCCTGTATGCTTTCTGCAGATGAAGCTGTCCTTGTCCTTTGGAGAAATGGGTGGAGAAACCGCCCTTCGCCGAAATAGGCTCCGTCGTCATCATTTGCATCTTCATCGTGATAGGGTGCAGAAGTCGGGCAATCTGGCGCGGCGCTGCTCGTGCCATGTCGTCGGTGTTCCCGTCGGGCCCGCCGCGTTTGCCTTTCTTGGCGGCTGCCAGGGCGGATGTCAGATTGTGGATGGTCTGGACGTTGTCGATGTGGGGTATCGGCTTGGTGTGGGCAGTCTTGTTGTTGTAGTACTTGACGACGCCTTCGATGTCGGTGTTGATGCCGTTCTCTATGTTGCCGTAGTATCGAAGGGCGTGCTCCGCAATGGCTTGTGGCGTTGTAAGTGGAGCGCCGTCATCGTCTTGTCGTATTTTGGGAGTCGGAGTTCTCTTAGGTGTGCGGCCGCCGTATGTTAGTAATGCCCTCACGTTTGCCCATTCCTGCCGCGGGGCGTTCCCTGCAGCTGATAGTATCATGTTGTCGGAGAGGCGCTCGAGGTGGGCGTCGCGGTCGTGATCGAGGCGGTTCCTAAGAACTCTGTCGGTATCTTTGATGAAGCTCATGTATGAGTCGAAAAGGTTTGTAGTGAAGGTGGTTGTGCAGTGGGTGCTGTCGTGGTATGGAGCCGTAGTCTGGTCGGGGTCCGCGTGGTTGATAAAGAGGATGGTCTTGATCATCAGCTGAGTATATCCAGGGATGTCCATGAGGTGGATGACGTCGTCAGGGGACGCTGAAGCCGTCTGGTTTGCGATGAGGTGCGCGGTGTATCGGATCCGTCTGCGTGATATCTTGGAGCCCATGCCATTCCTTTTCACGATGCGGATCGTCTTGAGGAGGGTGCGTCGAAAGCGAAGAAGCGCGTATGAGGCCTCGGTAATGTAGGGCTTGCGTGGGGCATGATGCTGCTTCTTGAAGCTGGCGTAGGCTGCGTCCTTTATCTGATCGACGATGCTCTTAGTATGGTCGTTGAGGTTGGTCTCCCAGGGGGGGTGTTGGATCTGCTGCAGGCGTCGTTGAAAGTCGTTCTTGGCTGTCTCGGAGTCGAGC